TTTCGTTACAAAAGGCAACTTTTGACTTTTTTTGGAGCAAGTTTTGAGCAACATGACGGGGTTACCAAGCGGGTTTCAACGGTCGTTGTGTCGCGGATCAAAAGGACACGGAGCTCTTCCATCATTTTATCGTTTCACTTGGGGACACGAAGAGCCGCCTGGCGTCGCTCGCAGGGCTGCAACTGTGTGGCTAGAGAATTGAAATGGAAGATCAACCTTTGCCCTTGAATTCTACGGTGGATTTGTGGCCGTGGGTACATTTTAGCCTAGGATTTTTGACTTCGTTCGGCAGGCTGTCCCGACTGAAGTGTTTCGCCTTGTCCTCTCTTTATGAAGGGAAAACCGGAATTCAAAAAAGTCGGTTAAATCAAGTTAAATTGGTAAAATAACCACACCAGGAACAAACAGCACACGTATGGAATAAGTTAAGTGATTTATGTTGAGAATTTTCACTTTTAACTACCTTCACGGATATCATGTAGAAAATCCGATACAAACCCTTAAAATTCGATGTCATATTGTGTTGCTTGTGTGGTTCATAGAGAGAGCTTGGGCTGCCTGTGCTTGGACTTGAAAGTGCACGCGCTGCACTATGCAAATGACTACTTGTACGCGTCAGACTTTCCTTTCAAAAACTTTTGCAAACTCGTCAAACAGGCAGAAACAATAAGAAACCATCAAAAACAGGTTTTGGTTATGATTAAGCATTGTTTGAGAAACTCACAAATTAACTCGATACAATAGGAGAGAGTTTTCTTGCTATATTCGTAAGCCAGAACCATGGATAGTAAAGAGACTATCCATGCCAGAACAAACGCAAAAGCGTTCGCGTTAATAACAATAATAATAATAATAATAATAATAATAATAATAAAAGCGCGTTATCTAGCGCGAGCAGATCTTATTATTCATTCACAGCGCGAAATTGAAGTCTTTTTTTCGATCTTGAAAACTTACCTTTTCCATTAGCTCAGAGCATAAAACTACATATAAGCGCCCTGATTCTTAGTCCCTGCCTTATTCAACGCCATCACCGTGAAAAATCCGCTAGAGAATCTCGCAACTCTCACCATTTGATCACGCAACGTGACAACATCCAGACGAAAACTCCTGACATGTGCGTGGATCCGTGCGGATATATGTCGTCGGGATGGCGCAATTTGTTCTAAAAGTAGCAAAATTGTTCGATATCATAGGTGCGCGGAGATCCCAAGACTTACAGTCTCCGTCCCCGATTATGGCTCCTGAATGTATCTAAAAGGAAGAAGCTTAGCAGGCAATAGTTTTAACACCTCCGTGAGATAACGAAAAATAGTACCTTTACCATCTGCATGTGTTTATTATCTCATACCAAAAGAAAAAAGACGGTAGCAAATGCCATGATATCTCTCCCAAAGGGACCTTCAACACCGTTTCCGAAGTTAATTAGGCCAAACACTTACAATATTGAATTGTCTCATAAGAAAAATTTCTTTGAAAAATTAGGATCCCTAAAGAAAACCTCAAGTATCTGGTCCCGAAGAGACTGATCTATATACGGTAGAATAAATATTGTTAAAACGTTA